TATATTTTTTTAATTTACATATATAATATATAAAGTTATATATATTACATAATTATATGTAATTCACACACACACACCCACACACATATACACACACCACACACATACGTATATAAATGTATATATATGCGTATATAGCGCCCAAAAGTTCCGGAATGGCTAAATATCTCGAAAATAAAGCATTTTAGAGAAAAATATTTCATACAAAGTTGTAGAATTTTACGTGACACATTACATAAGTAATATTAATATAACCTTCAATAGTATTGTCAGTCATGTAAGAATCACTTTGAAATTTTTGAATAGAAATCCTCGTTTTTTATTATATCATCTTTTTCTACCAATTAATTTGAACAGCTTTTGTTTGAAACATTTTTTTATTTGTCTAATATTTTTTTAGATATTTAAAGAAAACTTAATAATTATTTTTTCTTTATAACTATTTGTCGAAAGAAGAAAAGTAGTACCAGACCTTTTTATCCCATTCAATAATACGAATATGCAGTTACAGTAATGCCCTAACTTTTGTTAACTTGATGTTTGGCAATTTCAAAGTCATCAAGCAAACCAAAAGTTAGAGTATTACTGTAACTGTATATTTTTGTGATTAAATAGAATAAAAGTTTAGTACCATTTTTTCATTCAACAAATAATTACCGAGATATCGTAAGCTAAATATGGAAAAAGTTACCAAATTTTCCTTAAATATCTAAAAAAATATTAAACAAATAAAAAAATGTTTCAGACAAAAGTTGTTCAAATTAATCGGTAGAGAAAAATGATGTAATAAAAATATGGGTTTTCATTTACGATTTTAAATCGATTTAACCTCTAAATTTTATCTCTAGGTCAAGTTTAAGTTCACCACTAGATGCTCATTTCTAAATCCTAAAACTTTTATATTTAACATTTTTATCAAAAACGCCATACCTTGAATCTGAAGTACCCATCTTTCTAGTATATCCTGTGTGTGTGTATTTAAAATTTACACACACACACACATACACAAATTAATATATTTTTCTTATGTATATATATACCTATTTCTATATATTTATATTTATATATATATATTTATATATATTATATTTATATTTATATATATATACAAAATTCTTATATATACAAGGTATTCAGAAATAAGTAATCAAACTTTAAGAGCATATGTATATGTGTGTGTAATATACATATATATAAATTAACATATATTCTTTTATAATTTGTTCTTATGAATATATTACATTATAGTGAGTATATTACATTATACTGGATTCACGGGCGATAAGCTTCAACGGCTCGAAAATAATAAAGAGAAAGCTAAGAGAAAAGCCGCCCAGACTCGTATCCCGTGGAATCCCGACGGCCGAAACGTCCCAATTGTTTTTCCGCGGTGGTGGTCCTCGGGATATCCGGCGCGCGCGCGCGAATGTGATAAATCGAAGCTCAACGGTTGTGTAGCGTGCACAAGAAGCACGTCCCGCCGACTTACGTAATCGCTTTCCGCGGCGGTTGTCGTACGCGCAGATCCGGCGGCTTAATCTGCATCGGTGCACCTTCAATGGGTGTGCGGATGCGGCGGAAATTCGCCGCAACAACGCGCCTAAACAATTTGCATGTTCGATCAGCGTGCCGGCGGATCGCCATCGAACGAGACAACTGGACGATTATCGATCGCCCGTCGTCTCTGGCCGACCGGAAGTGGGAGGTGTTCCCGATGAGAAATATATTTTTCACCGGGGGGGGGGGGGGACAACATCGTGCGTCCGATCAAATCCACGAGCAACGCCGCTCGCAGAAGATGTAATGAAACACGACGAATCGGACGGACCAAATCGCGCACGCAATTTCTGACCATCCTGTTTTCTCGTTCTCTCGAGCGAGCTCGAGGTGCGCTGCAGTTGTGCATCTCAATCGAGAGGGCGCACCTAACAATTGCAGATGCAGCGAGAGACTCATCATCGTTAATCGTCCCGCGCGTGGCCGTCTTCTGAATCGCGTCGTCCTTTCGCTCTCTCTCTCTCTCTCTCTCTCTCTCTCTCTCTCTCTCTCTCTCTCTCTCTCTCTCTCTCGTCTCTCTCTCTCTCGTCTCTCTCTCTCTCGTCTCTCTCTCTCTCGTCTCTCTCTCTCTCGTCTCTCTCTCTCTCTCTCTCTCTCGTCTCTCTCTCTCTCGTCTCTCTCTCTCTCGTCTCTCTCTCTCTCGTCTCTCTCTCTCTCTCGTCTCTCTCTCTCTCTCTCTCTCGTCTCTCTCTCTCGTCTCTCTCTCTCGTCTCTCTCTCTCTCTCTCTCTCTCTCTCTCTCTCTCTCTCTCTCTCTCTCTCTCTCTCTCTCTCTCTCTCTCTCTCGCGGGAATCTTGCGTGTCGCGAACGGCGCCCAGTCACATCATCAGTATGATGGCACAGAAAGAAACTACAATTATCGTCGGGCGCGATAACAATGAAAAGAGAAAACGGCGCGGCTCGCGCAAAACGAGACATGTGTCAACGTACACTGAGTTTCAACGAAGTCCCAACATTTCTCAGGCGTAACCTCCCGTTGACCTCTTTAATCGTTCGCATCGTGTCTGAATATATCATGCGTGCGCATTACGACCCTCACACAATGGTCATAACTGATCCGTCATTTTAGCACTTTCACGTATTCACATTATATCGCGTGATATCCCCAGATACATGAGGGGAGCGATTAGAAAAATGAATAAAATTCGGCCTAATAAAATGACAAAGTTTCGTTAATACTTGATGCGCGTATACAAATGTACAAAAAAAAATAAGTGAAAGAGATAAAATAAATAAAATCCACAAGTTCCGGCGGAAAACAGCGAATTCGCTCGACGACACGCCCAGGTAAAGTTGCCAGATTTGTAGGTTGGTAGAAAAGGACTGAAAATTTTACCGAGCAAAAGAAAAAGGGTCGTCGGATGAAATGCGTCTTCCCGAACGTCAATTTCCATCCAATAGGATGGCCGACAAAAATGTTAATAGATAATGACTACGGTAAGTCAGTCACTATGGCAGCATATCTGATAAAAAAAAAAAATTCCAATGCGACAGAGAAGAACAAATAGCGTTCCTGGTAGGATGTAAGAATTTTCGCTAGAATAAAGGATAATCCTTCCCAAAGGATATCTGGCAACTCTGATGCTGAGGAGACACCGAGAGAAAGTGCGTGCGAATGCCGATATATTTTGCCTGCGAAGGAATTCGGCCACGTTATCGCGCGATTATCCTACATTTCATATCGGTATCGATTACCGAGCTGCTTGAAGGTGCGTACGCATTCCACGTATTCCAAGTGCGATTTCCGCGTTCGTGCGACGCCATCGTTACGTTTTATCGATTGTCATCGTTGCACACTATTACATAAACGTCTACGCTATGCGAGGCGTCCATATTTCGCCGTTATCGGCCAGCGAAATGGATCGATTTCGAGACGGTAGGTGTTGGTGACTGCCAACGGCAATCGATCGACCTATCGATCCTCTCGAGTGAATGCCTTCGTGGCAACGTCGAACGATCCTGACGAACCTCTCGGGCCCGTTTGTATTTCCTCGTGTCGCTCTGCGGCTGCGTTTGGAAACGAAGTGGACGCGTGTGAATGATTTTCGAGTAAGTGAGATGCAGGATAAGAGAGAAAGAGCGGCCTGGCCTTTTCTGCGACATTTCTGTATGCTTCACCATGTTTCGAAAGCGGCGTGAACAAGAAAACTCATTTAGTCCCGAGAACTTGACACAACCCGGCTGAAAAGGTCGGGCCCGCGGTGCCGGAAACGATCGAGACGGGTTTCTCGGTATCCGAATCAAAAGGGTTAACAGGGAAGAACAATTGCCTCCAAGGAAACAAATGACGAAAACGGTGCGAACGATAAAATCTCGCTCGCCTCTCCGCCTTTATGCGCGAGCCTTAATGACGTAACCATGAGAATTTTTACATGACCGTCGTTGTCGGGGATGAACCACAATGGGAAGATTTTACACTCGAGACGAAACAGATATTTTAGATCCAAGACGCGAAATACACATGAAGAAAGCACGAAACGCCGAGATCGGACAGAAAGCGTGTGCGAAACGAGCCGCTGCGGGGAATTTAATCCTGTCCAGCTCTTTCTCTCTCTCTCTCTCTCTCTCTCTCTCTCTCTCTCTCTCTCTCTCTCTCTCTCTCTCTCTCTCTCTCTTTCCCTCTCTCTCTCTCTCTCTCTCTCTCGTCATCCTGCGTCTGACTGCAATTCCTGCGGCATAACGCAATCGAAAGCGAGCTAGTCGGTTATCACACGCAGAGACCGGCCAATTTTGGCATGCTGACCGGAATCCAGAAATCCAATATCCTAGCTGAACTCTTTCTCGATCTTCATTTCGTCATTCTCTCCTTCTCTCCATCGACAGGCGCGTCATACATGTTTTCCGAAGGAATCTCTTCACAGAAAGAGACGAGTCGCAGAGCGCCGATTACCGTAATGGAGAACGGAGAGCAGAAAAGAGTGCGTGTGGTGAACCCTTCCCGTAAGAATCACGGCTTTTTCCAACCTTAAAAGAGAAACGGGGAGCAAGGGGACTCGGTTCGCCGGCGAGAAGGCCGGTAGGATCTATGGATCGCGGTCGCCGACGCAGTCACGTACGGGTGACATAACGACGACCAGGTCGTCAGCGAGAGAGACGCAACAAAGGAAAGATCATGCGACGGCCGATGATCGGCAATCTCTAGCGAGACACTCACCTGAGGCACGAGCAACCACGGAGAGAAGTGGTTAGAGGATGCAATCGGGGGACGACCGGTAGCGCTAATAGACGCACCTTAGACTCCTGCGCACGGACAAGCACACGTAGCAGCGGAGCAGCAGAAGCGATCGTGGTGTATCGTAGTTGCCGTACGAACGCCGCGCGAGTCGGAAACGAAGTGCCGAAGCGGCGCGGCGTGACGTGACGCGGAACGGCGCGGGATCGCCTCGCGACAGCGCCGCGAGCCTCTCCTCGTCCGGCTCAGCCAATCACCACCCTCCTCGAAGCCCCCTTCCGCCGCTCTCGGCGGCTCTCGGCCGCTCGGCCGCGCGAGAGCGAGCGAACGAGCGCGCGCAGGAGCGAGTGAACGAGTGTGCCGTGCGCCGTTCCGGTGTTCCGCTATTTCTGCGAAGGAAACTTTCGGTCGGCTCTCTCGCAATGGCCCCCGTTGCTACCTGAAATCCCGCTGCTGTCGCCCCGACCGCGCGGCTCTTTGCTCGTCGCGACGAGCTTTAAGATGTGTTTAACATTTCGATGATTTCCGCATTTGTTCCGCGCGATTTGTCGACGGCAGGTCGCGGAGGACTCCCGTTTAGACGCTGTCTAAACCGGGGGAGACGGTTATGTGTCTGGACGGATTTTGTTTAGTTGCTAGGGTAGGGTTGCTCTTTTTTTTTCTTTCTTTAACTGACATTCTCAAATTTTTACTCAAAATCCTGGAACATTTTGTAAAAAAAACGGAACATGTTGAAGATTAAGAAAACCAACAATAAATCTATTATATTTTTTACAGCATTTTAAATAAGAGAGATATTGGTATAAAAAGACACAATTAACCAACGTAAATTAAAAAAAAAAAATAATTATAAATCACAAACATGCTTAATAAGAAAAATTGCACGTTTAAAAAATATATAATAGTCGAGTTTGTATCTTAAATTCATCAGAATATTTATCAGATTTATGGACTTGTTCGAGAATCTTTTTTCTTCTGATATTCCACATTTTCATTTACATCTTTAATGAAGAACAATTCTCTTCTAATATTATCATGTATATTGCATTTACGATTCGACATTATGCGGATGAAAAATAATGAAAATTATAACATTCATACAAACACTAGCAACCACCGTTGTATGTATGTAATCAGGAATTGATAAAATAACATATTGCCAACAGAAGTATGGAGAAAGAAAAGCATCACTAAAAGTATTGCCAACATCTTGTTAGAAATTGGTTGACAATGTTTCATGCATTAGCCACGAGTAGCGGGATTCTGTAACTCGTTAACGATAACGACACTGTCGTGGCACAAGTATAATATGGCAGAAAAGATGCGCAACGACATATCATGCTATTGATATTGTTGTAAGAAGTTACAGAATCTCGCCTCAGGAGTGTTATATGGTATGTTAAAAAAGAGTAAAAAATCCATTACCCACGGATTTCTTTTCAGCATTTTTCTATGTGGACGTATATTATTTATACGATTCTATATGATTATATACGTGGTCATATATTTATATGTAATTTTTTTATAATTACATACAAGACTTTTGCCGGGAATTATTTCCTACCAATGCATATATCCATGCACCTAACTTTTTATGTAGCTCTTATAATATTGCAATTATGTATTTCTTGCCAGGAAATATTTCTTTATTAAGCGGCAATCTTTAACAGAATAAAGTCACGTATATAAGTAACAGCGGTCGTTAAAGTGCTAAGGTCGTATCTGATTATTGGAGATCGGACATTGTCAATTAAAGATCGGAATGCAACGAATCGACCGATCTCGACTGCGACTCACTTTGTTACCGATTGGTTGACTGGTTAATCTTCAATTTGCAATCTTCCATCTTCAATATTTGAGGTGTAATATACTACACGCTTTACAATAGCTTCCAAAGCATGCTTTTTATGTAGCCAGTAAAAAGTAGGTTGCGTAAAGCTTTGTCTCGACATGCAGAACGTTCCCGGTATACAATAGAAAAATATATTTTTAAATAGACTCTCTTTCTCTTCCATTAGATTCGCGATACATTATGAGATCTACCGAAGTAAAAGTGCTGCAATCTATCGTTTAATGACTGTATACAAGACTAATGACGTCATTATTCAAGTGCTTTAAACAGTCTGAATCCATATCAGATTATATATTATACATATATACATATATATATATATATATACACACACATATATATATATACATATATATATAATATAGATAGATAAATAGATAGATGTAGATTAAAATAGATATTACTATAGATAGGCATAAGTAAGATAAGTATAAAGATAAAGATTAAAGAATACGACGAGTTGCCTACCCAATGAATACCAACCAGTAACATCTCATTGATGTTTGCCCACTCATGTCAGTTCGTGTCAATGTCAATTAAATCTCAATCTAGTCTTCAATTCTCTTTAGATAGACTCAAAGGAGAAGAGTCAACATGACGTTAATATGATGGCAGAGAAGTATAATGAACGAAAATATTTTATCAGTCCACTTATTAGTGATGAAAAAGGTTGTGATAACACGACGATATACTAGAGTTGTGCGAACTATTCGAATTCGAATCGAATCGAAACGAATCTAATGTAATTCGATTCGATTCGAATCTGAATAATTCGAATAGGAATCAAATACATCATCGTTTGCGTGCATCAGCTATAAAACGGGCCATCTGGCCTTGTATATTTGAACCCTTAACTTGTAATTAACTTAACTTATAATTAATAACTTAATTATAAATTACTTTAAATATTTAAATATATATTTTACTTTAAGATGATATTACAATATCAATATTTCCTTTCGTATTAAAATTTTCCATCATTATTTGCATGTTTAATAGTCATATTAAATTTTTTAATGATTCGATTCGATTCGAATTCAAGTGAAATTTCATAGATTCGATTCGATTCGAATTCGAATTTAAAAAATGAAATTCGGTTCGACATAAAAATTCTTGATTCGCACATCTCTACGATATAACTAGACTAATAATTAATTTTGGCTTTATGAATCGAGACTTTTTTCCTTGCCTCATGGTTATTTTTGACATTCCTAGTGATCATACAATATAAAAAAAAATTGTTCTTTGAAAATCCTATAGAGGCAGAAAAACACTTTTATTAATTCTGCTCCTTTAGGTTAAAGTTTGATTATCTTCGGTAGAAATGAGCATGTAACGTTACTGAGAGTAGAAGATCACAACTTTGATGGAATGTCACTATCGTTGTAAGTTTACCAGGTAACTTCAATCCTGGAAGTCTCCGCAATTCTCAATTTCCAATATCTAAAGTGCGGTCCGCTTAATATCGCAATAGCTTCGGAGCTTCGTTTTTTATACGTGAACTTTGATAACGTCATTATGTAAGTAAAACGTTCCGGAGCGCGTATAACCTTGCCTTCAGTCAAATAGGGCTTTAATGGACGCCATCCCTAGTTTGCCGTGGGCATAAAGCGCAGCACATGAATGAGCGAACGAGGATGTGGAATTGAGTTCTGCTCGTTCTCAAGTTCGAGCTGCGAGGTTGATCGAAATTCTACCACATTCGTTTCTTTCTTTCAGATACTCACTTGGCTCGAGATTGAGTCTCGTTCCTTGCCGAGGACGATAGCATCATCGACGGCACGCTCGAAGAATCGCTCCCATTATCGATCACGCACAGACCGGCCGACGCCCTTCGTCCATGTACCAAGGTCAAGGTCGGACCTCGCACCAGCCAGCTCGCAAGCCCTCCTCTTATCGGACGTACCGGTTCGGCTCCTCGCGGTCCAGCGGTATACGACTTTTACGTGACGCTTTGTACGCCTCCCAGGAATTACGTAATCTAACTTTCAGCCAGACCAGCTACGCCGTTGTTTTTGCGTCGATCGTATGCCGGGTATCTAGCGCTTACATATACATTTCACGTAATTTGCACGACGACTCTGATTGCAATCAAATTGTGATGCAGGCTAAATTATCTTTTCCGAATTTAGGCGAAATTGGAGTTTATAATCTGGCTTTTTGCGGTTTTCAGCGCACGCTCGGAAATGGACGGAAAAAAATGCGGAAGGTAAGTCTATTTTTGTAGTAAGAAATGAGAATGCCGGGTCTCTCGCGATGGATCCTCGCTTTCTCGTGTCCCTCCTTTCGCGTTCTTGCTGCGAGTCACAAACATTCCGCGCTTTTTCATCATCGACTCCGAACGCAAGTATATCCTAATTAGACTCGGGGGATTAAACGCGCCATTGCGCGCGTATCGGCTCGGTCCGATTCCGTGGTGTTTCGACATTCGGGCAAGGGCGGTATATAGGTCACGGCGGATGAATTTCCGGAGAACGACGGGATTCCGGGAGTATCGGCTGGCCGCCTCGTCCTCCACCCTTCCACCCGCTGTTACGAAATCAGCTGTGCGAGTTCGGGTTGTTGTAGGTCGCGCCGGGTGTCCCGTCGCCAACCCCGTTTGAGAACCCACCACCTCCACAACACACGGAGAGAGAGAGAGAGAGAGAAAGTGAACGAGCGAGTGAGCGAGCGAGCGAGCGAGCGCGAGAGAGAGAGAGAGAGAGAGAGAGAGAGAGAGAGAGAGAGAGAGAGAGGAGAGAGAGAGAGAGAGAGAGAGGGAGTGAGAGAGAGAGTGAGAGAGGGAGTGAGAGAGGGAGTGAGAGAGGGAGAAAGAGAGAGAGAGAGAGAGAGAGGGAGTGAGAGAGAGAGTGAGAGAGGGAGTGAGAGAGGGAGTGAGAGAGGGAGTGAGAGAGGGAGTGAGAGAGGGAGAGGGAGAGGGAGAGGGAGGGAGAGAGGGAGGGAGAGAGAGAGGGAGGGGAGGGAGAGAGAGGGGGAGGGAGAGGGGCGGGAGAGGGGGGAGACGGGGAGAGGGGGAGGGGGAGAGAGGGGGGATAGAGGGTGATAGAGGGGCGAGAGGGGGAGGGGGAGCGAGAGGGAGAGGCGGGAGAGAGGGGGTGATAGAGGGGGAGAGGGGTGATAGAGGGGGAGAGGGGGAGGGAGGGGGATCGATAGAGGGGGAGGGGGAGTGAGGGGGGGGGAGGGAGGGAGAGAGAGAGAGAGAGTGAGAGAGAGAGAGAGAGAGAGAGAGAGAGAGAGAGAGAGAGAGAGAGAGAGAGAGAGAGAGAGAGAGAGAGAGAGAGAGAGAGAGAGAGAGAGAGGGAGGGAGAGGGAGAGGGAGAGGGAGAGGGAGAGGGAGAGGGAGAGAGAGAGAGAGAGAGAGAGAGAGGGGGAGGAGACTGACACGGGAGGAGGCGCGGAGAAGCACAAAGGTCGCTAGAAGCTCGCCGGTGTAGATCAATACGAAAGCCACATGTCTACCTACCTACTGCCTACCTTCCCTATCGCGCCAATAAGAATATCCGGAGGAGAGGATTGAACCTTCTCGTCGAGAGTCTCGCACCCACGCGCGTTCCCGTTTATTGTACGCGATGATAATCGTTTAATTCGGAGGAGAACAAGAGAGGAGGGAAAAGTCGGCAAGAGGGAATGTCGTCGGTGCATTGCATGCTGTGCTGCGGCTTACACGGAAGACGACTCGGCAAGATCCTGTGAATGCGGGATGGACATTGAACGAGTGCAAGTTGGCTCTTGGAATTTCTCGCAGAGAGATTCTGCACCGGAGAAACAGAGTAACAATGAATCGTTCGAACTCGAGTGACTTTTCATTTATACCAAATGAGAAATTTATTCGGTATTGGCAAATGGATATCTTGACTCGAGTTGAATCTGATGGACTCTACTGCTGAAGAAACAAAATCACTCTGACCGATCGAAGCATTCACTTGTATGAATTAATTATTGGGTTGGCAACTAAGTGATTGCGGATTTTAAATAAGAATGAAAATTCAAAATTTTAAATTTGCTTTTTTAAATTTTTTTCAATGCATGTATGCGATACTTTGAGCTTCTCTGCAATATCACGTGTTGTGCTATGACGATCTGAATCGATAATGGCCTTGATATGGGTCTCATCGACTTCAACTGGACGGCCAGATCGTTGAGCATTTTTCAATGAAAAATCACCAGAACGAAATCTGGCAAACCAATTTTGACATTGCCTTTCTTTCAAGGCTTCATTCCCATACACGGCACATAACTTCTTGTGTGCTTGCGATGCGTTCTTGTCTTTTCGGAAATAATACAATAAAATATGTCTGAAGTGCACGTCTTGCTCTTCCATTTTTAAATTGGGATAAAAACAAAACTAAAGAACTAATCGATATAATTTTTGTACTAAATGAAAGGTAGAAGTCCAAACAATAAGAAAAAAATATAGGTTAAGTACTTTGAACATGTTAACGAAACAAAAGAAAGTGTAAAATCCATCTGTCGACAAAATCCGCAATCACTTAGTTGCCAACCCAATAAATTCGTATCATTGTTTTCTCCTTCTCTCTCTCTCTCTCTCTCTCTCTCTCTCTCTCACACACATACACACAAACTTCATTCGATTTGTGAATAGACATATGCTTATCGTCTCAGTATGTTTTTATTTTACAAAGGTCTTTGACTGCGCATTTCATACCCTGCTTACTCGGAAATTGTGAGGGGTTACTCTTCTTCAACTTTATATTGTATACTTCCAAAGGCAGGTTATACGTGATCATGTGTGTATACTCAGGTGTCGATGCTACATTGTCTGCCTTTCTTGATGTTTGTGCTCAAATTTCCTCAAATGTCAGTTCTGAGTCCTCCGTTGTTGTTTGTTCCTTTTACATCAAATTTTAATACGACTTTTAAACATTGTAAATATAATTTCTATTAATTTACAAATTTCGATTAATCTACAAGTTTATTTATACCGTGATCCGTAAAAATTGAAGGAGGCTGTATCATTAATTAATAAAAATATAGAACGGTTAGCGGTCTGAGCTGAGCATAAGTCTTTTATTAAATCCTGGGAAAATGAAGACTATTACTCTAAGTACTTCTAAGTTTGTTAAAAGTATCTGCTTGACCGATTTCTCTCCTGTTAGAGTATTTGGGGTCAGCATTCTTTGTCCAGAATCGATTGAATATTTTAAGATAATTTTTATGAATAATTTATCTTGGGAAAAACACATTAGCCGCACAATTAAGAAAATTAACTTCATAATATATGATGAGTTAAATTTAAATAGCCATCTTTAATCCATTTATGTTGGTCATCCGTTGGTTACGTTGGCATTGTTGTTATCTTTGATTATTCTTAGCGATATGAAGTTTCGTCTCTAATGGGCAATGAACTCTTCCGTTAAATTTGTTCACAAGATCAAATTATTAATTATTAAGTAATTGTACCACGCTTCTCTTTTCTGAGCTAGGATAATTCAAAGTTCATTTGAGAAGAAAATATCTTAGCTGCCTTCTTTATTACATTTTACTAGTATCCACAGCCTTATATAAAGGGAGTTTGTTTTCAGAGAGGATATAACTATTCGTGATAGAACCTGTCTCGATAGATTATCAATATCTATTTATCGTGCTGAAAAGTTCGAAAGATCATTTAGGTTGGTAGCTATCGACTGTTGAAACAATAGCCAATATAAGATCGTTTAATTCCATTTTCAGTTTTAAAGAGAGTTATTATCGTTTTCTCCCGAATAGAACGTGCTGATATAAATTGAATCCGGCTTGATTTTTATTTTATGTAAAATTATTAATTCAACAAATTTATCATATTAATCTAGAATACAATCAAACATTGCGTTTCTCTTCTCATTTATATTATTACTATGTAAGATTTATTTTTGTAATTACTTGCGTATACTACTCCCTTTGTTAATCACTGTTAATCAATGTTACTAATGTCAAGCGCTTAAACCATCATATCCTAAGATCATATCCTAAGATGTAAACAAACTTCTCTCCCTCTATCTCTCTCCTTCTTTGTCCAGTAAATGATAAAGTTATCAAGTTCCGTCTTCAGACAATCAGGGGAAATTCGGTTGAATCATTTTTATCTTGACGAGCTACAGGACATATCGGATAGGAAAATATGTCTTCCGATATATACTGAAGGGTAAATTCTTCCATCGACACACGGATATGTAGCGAAAGCCAGTGAAAAAAGAATGCTACAATCTTTTCTTCCACTGGCCGTACTTGAAAACTCACGCTGCTGGATTGTTACAATTATTAATCACACAGACTTACCCGTTTCACAAAAATATTTCTTGAACGAATCCGACCTACTGTGGCGATCGTTGACTCTCCTGTCGTTTTCCGTCGCCACATGGTAACGTGCGCGCGAGCACGAGCGCACTCGCTTCGATGCCCTAATATAATTTATCGTTTTGTTTTTGGAAACTCCGTAATAGACGTTTCGATAATCGATACAGTGTCCCACTCGACGATAAACATTTATCGTGGCAAAAATGTTGCTGTAAATACGCAAAATGGTGCTTTTTCAAGAAGAACGAGAAGTATAAATGCTCATTTAGCCCGGCTCGAGTCGAAAAGAGAGAGAGAGAGAGAGAGAGAGGGGGGAGGGAGGGAGGGGGAGAGAGGAGAGAGAGAGAGAGAGAGAGAGAGAGAGAGAGAGAGAGAGAGAGAGAGAGAGAGGGGGAGAGTGATGGGGGAGAGAGGGAGAGGGGGAGGGGGGAGAGAAAGCGAGAGAGAGAGCGAGAGAGAGAGAGAGAGAGAATTAGAGTGGAGATGAAGAGGGTGGGGAGAAACTACTGTCAATGCTGAGCGCACATCGCGCGCTCGTTACGTAATGTTTGCCGTTCGTTGGACGTTGGGTATACTCATATTTTCCGCGGAAATAAATCGGCGAGGCTTAGCCAAGAAGAGGCGACGAGCGCTGGTACCTTGGAAATGTTTGAGCCAGTCGCTCTCGTTCATAAACAGTCTCTGCGTTCGTTAAAATTAAACGAGATTTCGCTCGTGCATCTTGTGCGGAACAAAATTTTATGTGTGAGTGTATATGTGTATATACAGGGTGTCCCATTTTAATGTCCCACCCCAAATAACTCTTCAGTATTGAAGTTTCAAGGAAAATGATCTGATGAATAAAAGTTGTAGGAATTTAAGTGAGCTACCTTATGATGAACTTGATTTTGACCATGACCTCTATTTCCAAGGTCA